TGGTGTGGTAGTCTAGTTAGTGTTAAGTGCTTGCATGCCTTCTCGCTTGCAGGTCCCACCACTGGCTAGCCTACCCCTGCCAGTGCACAGCCTCTCCATCATCGAGACTTCTGCAGTGCCTTATGGGTACCTTATGGTCCTAGGCTAAACTGTGGGGGATCTCAGAGCAGCAGGAGGCCCCAGAGGTTCAGGGTCATGGCCCACCGGTGTGTAGATATGCCCTGGCCCTGTACCAACTCCTGCCCCTAAGCCACCTGGGGGAACCCCACTGGTGGATGATGGGGCCCACAGCTCGCCACCCCCTTTTATATGGGGCAGCATCGGCGGGGGTGGCAGAGGTGGCATTCACCCAGAAGACTGCCCGAGGTTTAACCTCAGTCAGGAAGTCAGGGTGGGGGCTTGGAACGTCCATTCTTTGCGTCAGGATGATCAGTTGCTTCTACTGTCGAAGGAACTGGGGAGGTTGAGAGTTGAGGTGGCTGTTCTCTCACAGGTGGCAGCGGCATGACCAGTGCAGGTGGCTACGCCTATTACTGGTTGGGCTGCAGCGACAGTCACCATCTCCAGGGAGTAGCCATTGCCATCTCCAGCAGACTCCAGCCCTCGATAGCAGAGGTTACTCCTGTTGATGAGTGTATAATGGTATTAAGACTGAAGCTATCTTTTGGCTTCATGTCTCTTATTGCTGTGTACGCTCCTACCGATGATTATAAACTCGACGTGAAAGAGATGTTCTACGAAAAACTTGCACCTGTGGCAGACAGATGTCCCTGGCATGATATTTGTGTTGTTCTCTGTGACTTCAATGCGGTATCTGGCTGTGATCGAGCTGGCTATGAGATGTCTGTCAGTCCCCATAGTTCAGGAGTTAATGCTGGTGGTGAGAATAGCCTCCATTTCCTGGACTTTGCTAGGTCCCAGAAATTGAGGATTTCTGGCTCCTGGTACCAGCGCCCAGACCCACATCGTTGGACAAGGTACAGCGATGTACAGTAATGCAGCCACGGAGATCAACCACATACTCATTAGCACTCGTTGGAGGATGCTGAGGCAATCTCTGGTCATTTCACAATACTTGACAGTCTGACGGACCCTGTTCTTCTGTTGGATACCTTCAAGCGTGAAACGCTTCATGCAACTCATGAGACGATTAGTGTACGCCTGAGAGCAGAACAGAATTTCATCTCGCAGGAGACACTGGAAGCCACAGATGCTTGTCATGCAGCTCGTAATAAGCCCTGAGAAAGCTGAACTCCAAGCCCTCTTCACAGGTGACAGCAGTTCGCTTAGCAAGTGGTCAGATCGTTTCAGATCCTGTTGCAGAAACGTTGGGCTGAGTATTTTGAGCAGCTGTACCAGGTTGACCCACCAACAGTTAACTTGGATGAGGGGAGTGCTGAGATCCCGTTGCTGGACCCACCCATCAGTGAGGATCCTCCCTCCATAACTGAATTTAGGGGGGCGATCTCCAAGCTGAAGAGTGGTAAAGCAGCAGGTATCTGCGGTATACCAGCTGAACTGTTAAAAGGCTGGTGGTAAACCTATGGCGCAGGGGTTACATGCTGTCCTGGCTGCCATCTGGCGGTCCGGTACCGTTCCTCCTGACCTGTTAAGGCGTGTGGTCATCCCTCTCTGGAAGGGGAAGGGAGACCATTGGGACTGCAGCAATCACCGAGGCATCACATTGCTCAGTATACCAGGCAAGGTTCTAGCCCACAACCTTCTGAGACGTATCAGAGACCATCTACTGAGGCACCAGAGACTGGAGCAATCCGGATTCACTCCTGGTAAGTCCACAATAGACAGTATCCTTGCGCTTCAAATCATTGTTGAGCGCCACCGTAAGTTTGGGCGTGGGCTGCTTGCAGCCTACACCGACCTCAAGAAGGCGTTTGATACGGTGCATCGGGAATCACTCTGGGAGATCCTGAGACTGAGAGGAATTCCAACAACGATTATTGGACTAATAGCAAGCCTGTATACTGGTACTGAAAGTGCTGTAAAGTGTGGTGGGGGCCTGTTGAGCTTCTTTCCTGTTAGTTCAGGAGTGAGGCAAGGCTATGTTCTTGCGCCAACTCTTTTCAACACTTGCATGGACTGGATATTGGGCAGAGCTACTGTTCAAAATCATTGTGGAGCAACACTGGGCAATATCAAGATTACAGACCTTGACTTTGCGGATGATGTTGCTATTCTATCTGGGTCTTTGGAAACCTTAGTGGTGGCTCTGGATGCATTTAGCAATGAAGCGAAGCCCTTGGGTCTAGAGGTCTCCTGGACCAAGACCAAGGTCCAGGACTTTGGGGACTTGCTAGGAGAATCTGTTCAGTCGGTACGTGCTTGTGGCGAGGACATTGAAGTCACAGAGAGCTTTACATTCCTTGACCAGGAAGTCAAGCAGACAGAGTGGCAAGGCAACACAGGAAATGAACTCTTGACAAGAGTATTTGGAGCTGTCGGTACCTGTGCAGAAGGACCACGCTACAGGTTTTCAAGGCCCTGATAATGCCATATCTGCTATACGGTAGTGAAACCTGGACATTATCCTGTTCCTTGGAGGCTCATCTTGAAGCCTTTTGTAATAAGTCCTTGCACCAGATCATGAGGTACTGTTGGTGGGACCATGTGTCCAACCAATGGTTGCACCATGAGACTGGCACAGAACCTGTTATCTGCAATCCGTGATTGCCAACTCAGGTTATATGGCCACCTGGCTCACTTTCCACAGGATGATCCTGCCCATCAGGTCATCTCTGTTCCAGACAACCCTGGGTGGAAGAGGCCTGTGGGACAACCTAGGAAGTCGTGGCTTGGGCAGATCGACCAAACCTGTCGTGAAGAACTCAAGATTGGCCGAGTCCCTGCCTGGCGTCTTGCCATGAGGGATCCTCGTAGGTGGAAACGAAGCGTGGATGCGGCTATGCGCCCGTTGGCGTTAGCCCCTTGATGATGATGATGATGTCACTTAGCTCAATTGCTGCATTTCAAACAGGCACTAATCAATACCACTCAGCTTTCAGACACACACCACACACACACTAATTAGATACAACAATGTTCATCTAAAAGGCTGCTAAGAAATATTCTACAGTTTCTCTGACTTTGACTCTTAATTTCCAAGGTATCCTTATTACCCTTCACAATAATTGGTAATTCTTTACACTACAGATGCACTTGCCAGAGACTAAATCTTCAACTCAACATCAATTTATTTTTTTAACAATTCCTGCCTGAGAGAAGGATTGATGAGGGTCTCCCCTCCCAGTAAACCCTGGCAAACACTGTCTTCACCTCGGTATGCACGGCAAGATAGAAATGAATCTTGGGAGCACAGGGGAGTTTGACAGCTTTTCCTTTATTTGTGGCATTATTGTTCATGTCAGCAGATTATTTCCAACTCCCAGAACTTTTTGTCCTCTACAAAAATATTATCTACAATTTGCCCTAGCTCAGTGTGTCCATACCGTAAGGATTAAACCAATAATTGGAACCAACACCTTCACTAACAGTTGGAACATTTCTTATATCTCTTGTTTATATGCATAATCATATCCAAAAATCCAGGAGTATGAGAAACTAAAAAAATAATCAGTCTTTGGAGTAAAAACATACCAGAACCTTTACTCCTTTCAACTTATAAAATTATGGTAGTTAAAAAAAAAATTACCATATACCTTTCAATCCACTGTATCAGACACACAGTATGGAATGTGTGCCCACAGGGGGTTGCAGAGATGTCATCTGTGTGGATGAAGAGATCCCCACAGATTACACAGGCAGCACGCATCTCTGGATGACTACGGCAAAACTGAAATTCAATTGAAGATATCAATATTGGGCATTACCTAATAACAAGATCAAATAAAAATGCATTTACGTATATCATCAGGGAAGATAAAGACTTGGACTGATCCCTTAGTTAACCCAATGGTGCAGGGGGTGGTATGTCTGAATATGCCATACTTACTGTGAGTTTTGGTTATTTATTATGTTTATAAACAGATGCCTCTACAAGCTACATGGATGGCTTAGTTAGTGCTTAGTCATAAAGGAATCAACTGCTAATAGTACCTATCCCGTCTGATTACCCTTACCCTTTTCCTTGATTTTTGGAAATATTCCTTTTTATATTATATTGCTATTAGTATTTTTAATAACATTACAATCACCATAATGTCAATCGTAATAGTAACAGCATCATAAAATATCCCAAAACTAAAGGAAAGGGGAAATAATGTCAGATCATGTAGGCCTCCTAACTAACTCCTTGGCAGCAGACTCCTTGTCAAACCATCTATTTGTAAAATGTTTCACCAAAATATAATTATGTTAGATCTATATCTAATATCCACACTAAGATGGGGAAAATCTAAGGGCACTGTCATAAAGACATGTAAAAAAATGCACTCACAGATCTATGATATGATCTGCACAGGCAAAGAAAATCATCAGAAAGGTCGTGACAAATGCTACGCCGACGCATTGGCCTGTGGTAGATCTGCTGGTGTCTTTGAATCATGTAATGTGTCAAATTATCATTTCAAATGGCATATCGTTAAATCCTAATCCCTATACTTTTCATAACTACTACAGCCTTAACTGGACAATACACATTACACGCAGTCCAAAGTTACCAGAACTCTTAGTACTGGCAGTGGATTCTGGAAACTCCATATCTGTATACTCACATAAATAATATGGAGTAAACATTTATATATTTAAACATCAAAGGTTAATTTTATACAATATCTTTGCATAATCGATTGTGACAATTTTGGTATCGATGGATTCCACTCACCCACCACACCTATATGTAAGAATTATGCAGTGGAACCCCTCCAACCCCAACATTCTTGGCCTAGATAACAAGGGAGGTCATGAAAGACACCAAGGAAACTTGGGGGTAAAATATGAATTATATACACAAAATCATTCAATATAATATCTAATGCAGGGGAGTTGTCAAAGGGAATCAAAAATAAGTATTCCATATTTCCACA